AGAATACATCCACTTCAGCAGATGGTAGTGTGCAGTTTGACCATGCAGAGAGCTTTACTGGTGCAGAGTACATGGTCCAGGGGACTAYAACAGTCTCTTTGGTTGAGCACTCACTTGTAAGAGCACCAAAGCTCTCTACTTCCTCAACCTCCTTTACTCTCCTAYGATTTGACTTGTGCTCCCTCCACACCACTGAAACTCTTTCCACCATGTTCAGTGTTTATCCTCCTTAACTGTTCTGGAGCATTCCCCATTGTTGATAGATTCTAGAATCTCCTCTTTTGACTTTCCAATTCTCCTATTTATCTGGCTGTTCTTTTGTAGTCTTGCCCCATGTCATTGTCCTCCTCAGCCTCTCCTTAAGTGTTATTATTTGCCAAGGTTTTGTGATTGGGCCTGTTTTCTTCATCAAATGCTTCTCTTTGGATGATTTCATTTACTCCCAAAGCKTCCCCACCACCTCTTCTGAGGATTCTTCAATCTGTATCTGCTGCCCAAATCTCTTCCAAAGTTGAGGGAAGGAGGGGGAAAGCCCAGTGGATTTCAACACACCTTTGTTATATACTTATTTATTTTAAATCTCCAGCTCTGCAAAATTAATGAAAATAGAGTTGATTCTTTTTTATTTTCTTTTCTTCCTTCCCTCCCTCCCTCCCTCCCTCCCTTCCTTTCTTCCTTTCTTTCTGTTTTGGGGATTGAACTCAGGGGCACTCAACCACTGAGCCACATCCCAGCCCTTTTTTGTATTTTATTTAGAGACAGGGTCTCACTGAGTTGCTTAGCACCTCGCTTTTGCTGAGGCTGGCTTTGAACTTGTCATCCTCTTATCTTAGCCTCCCAAGCTGCTGGAATTAYAGGTATACACCACTGTGCCCGATAGAGTGCTTTCATTTTATAAYGTACTATAAATATGTTTTAGTCAAAACCTTGGAGCTGAAGATTAGGCCATTAGATGTAGGGGGAAAGTCTACTCCTTAACCTCCTTATCATTGTAGCGTTTTCATTGTAAATCAATTWGCCAAATCATATATACAGTATTTTGTTAGAAAAAGTCTGGCTTTGCTTTTTTTTTTTTTTAAAGAGAGAGAGAATTTTTTTTATATTTATTTTTCAGTTCTCGGCGGACACAACATCCTTGTTTGTATGTGGTGCTGAGGATCGAACCCGGGCCGCACGCATGTAAGCGCGTTACCGCTTGAGCCACATCCCTAGCCCCTGGCTTTGCTTTTTAATTCCAAAAAAATTTTAATATGTATTTCAAGAAAGACATATTAAAATCATTGAGAAACAAARTATAGAACATATGCTGTAAAACTGACAATTAAAAGAGTCACACTTAAATTAATATAGGTATAATTAAYATCCATTTTATAATAGTTAAAAAACAAGAATAAATTCATACATCTAGGGCTGGGGTTGTGGCTCAGCAGTAGAGCACTCGCCTAGCACATGTGAGACCCAGGGTTTGATCCTCAGCATCACATAAAAATAAATAAAATAAAGGTATTGTGTCCAACTACAACTAAAAATAATAAATATTTAAAAATTATACATTTAGCAATTTCTTACATGTAGTAGTTTATAAGGTGTATTTAACAAGATAATGAGGCAGGAGACATCTGCCTATTGAAATGGGGACCTTGGAGAATGGGATCCCATCACCCCAGATTAAAACTCTAGGCAAAAGTTACTTTCTTGTTTGTTTTTGTCTGCTTGATTGGAAGGTCTCACTCACACTTGGGTACCCATATATTCTGTTACTGCCCTAGGAAGGCAAAGCCACAATGGTAATGATATTTCCTTGACTACCTTAATATTAGTCAACCCCATAAAGATGTTTGGAACCCAAGCAATTATTTTCTTTTAAGGAATAAGTACAGGACAAACTCAGGTTAACAAAGACATTAAACCAACCTATTATGGAAATAAATTGAAATTATATACTTTCAATTGAGTCAGAAAAAAAAGAGCCATCAAGAGAGACTTTCCAATAAAAGGTTAGTTCCTCATCAAAATAGTATAAAAACCCCTAGTCAGAGAACCACCAACTATACCCTTTGGATGTTACCTTCCCCATRCTGTGGGAGCTTTTCTTGCTTGCTTCAAATAAATCTGCTACTGAATTCTCATCCTCCATTGTCTGTATACTTTATTCTGGTGTGTGAAATAAGAATCCTCCAACACTCACATGATCCTGTTAAAATCAGTTATTATGAATGGAAGACTACTATGAAAGTTATAACCAAATTTCTCCAGAAAAACAGAACTAACAGGATGAATAGATGGAGAAAGGGAGAGAAATTTATTATGAGGAACTGGTTCATGCAATTATGGAGGCTGAGAAATCCCACAATCTGCCATCTACAAACTGGAGATCCAGGAAAGCTATTGGTGTCATTTTGTAGTCCAAAGGGCTGAGAATGTGAGGGGGAACCTATCATGCCCATGTAAGGGCAGAAGATGAGATGTTCTAGCACAAAAAGGAGGGCAGAAGAAAGAGAATGAATTTCACCTTCCTCTGTCTTTTGTTCTAGTCAGGCCCTCTGCAGACTGGATGATGCTAACCACTTTGGAGAGGGCAATCTACTTTATGGAGCCCACTGATTCAAATGCTAAACTTCTCC